AAGAGAGCAACAGGAAAAAGGACGACGGAGAGAAAAGGAGAGATGGAGAAAAGGCAAGCAGCAATCGGGTGGGTGTGTGCGAATCCAATTTCCAGTGACAGTGCGCTCAGGATCACTGTTTCAGTGAAAGAACATATCATCTGTCAAAGTTAATGGCAGTGTCCTGGGGAAAATGAAGGAAAATAGAATGGAGACCATTCATTAAGAAGGTGGGGGATGGGGGGGGCAAATCCACCGGTCTGCCCCACTGTCTCTCCGGGAAAATAAATACATACACAAGCCATTATTTGTGCGTTTACGAGGTGGCAGTGCAGCCACGATCAAGGTTCTCATGCTACAGAGATAATATTAGCGCAGATGCCTGAAGAGGAATCTGTGGGCGGCACAGGGCTATCACTGGGAACGACGAGGTCGGCCTGGCTGCCTGGTAGGACGGCTGGCAGGCTAGCTAACAGGCCCGGCCAGTCTGTCTCTCACTCAGAGCTGTGGATGTACTCAGTGGAAGCAATTGATACCATTGTTTTATGGAGAGGAGGGTGGAGGGGGATTAAGAACCAACAATAGGGCTCTTTCACTGAAAATGTCAGCCGTCACGCCGGGGGACTGTCCGACTGGGCAGAGACACTTTCGTAAAAAGCCAAGGTACAAAATGAGTGTGGAAAATAGTATGAAACCCTGTGACGAGGGCAATGAAACAGTGTGACATGGGCCAGAACATTCCCATGCCAAATGGGAGAAATGCAGTCTCAAACATGGGACAACAGGCTATGGGAAACTTTACAACACAGATCATGTGAGAACATGTCAAACAGAAACACAAGGCATCTGATTTATTACTGTTTTGCATGTGTCTTGGAGATCTGTTTGTCTATCTGCAGATAAATATGTCAAGGATTTCAAGGTCTACCACAACAATGTGTAGCTTGAAACACATCCCAAATCAATAACCAGGATAATAGGTTATATGGGTCTTTAGCTCAGCCTCATTAGGAAAAAAGGAGACAAACGTGGCCTGATTCTTCAGGCAAATTAACATAGTGAGGAACCTAAAATATCACAACCGATGATCCGTTCTGGGACATTTTATCATGAGACTATACAACAGAGAGATACAAAGTTCTCTCTCTGAGCGCTTTGATAACCCCACTGGCCTTGGACCTCTTTGAGAATCTCACTCTGAAGGTTTGAGGTGAATATAAAGAGCAAGTTGAAGTGAGGTACCCTGCCGCTTTAAGGCTGGGATGAAACCAAGTTATTCTACCACTCTGACCTAATTGCTCTCTCGCTCTCCCGACATGAACACTGGGAGCTGTGCACTCTGACACGTAAAGATTATTTAATACCATCAAAGCCATAAAAAGAGGAATAAAAGGAGGCGGTGTGGAAGAAGGGGGGGGGTTAGTTAACCCTTTGCGAGGCTGGCAGGGCCGGGCAGTCCAGTGAGCTATGTGGAAAGCAGCAGAAAGAGAATCAGTATGCAAAAGCAGGCCTGTGTAACTGCCGCCGGCCGACGTGAGTGGAGCTCCCACATCCCAACATCACAGCGGCTGCACAACTCCCCCCTCCACAAAAAAATCCCACTCGGCTTCGGCTACACTCTCCTGGTATCGGCTCCCACCCTTCTTCTCTCCTACTTTTTCCCACACTCGCCCCAGTCCCTAAGGCAATGACGACGTCATTGGGCACCACAGCCAAACCACTGTAATATCCCAATTTATTTCTACTTATTCTGACAGAGTCGGGGCCCGTTTCATTTAGGTCAAGGCCGGTTTTATTAGTGTAAAGATACACTGCTTGCTTCTACTGGACTCTCATTTGTAAAACTGTTTCTAAACTGAATTATTCTTAATGGCAACATCAGTAGATCCGCAACAAACACATGCACACAGGAAAACGCATTCTGAAAAACCTCACCCATTGCTTTTTCCTATTCACAGTGAGTAAAACTCTAATTCTGCAGTGTGGTTTTTCACTTAAAGCACTTCCTACTCCTGAAACAGAGCTTCTAGCAGTCAAAATCTGACAGTGTGTGGGTGGGACTGGGTAGAGGTGTTTACCGTTAGGCAGGCGCTGGGTGACATCTCCAGGGTGCCCTGCCATTGTGGGGAGCATGTCTCATCTGTCAGTGCCTGATGAGTTTGTGCTGCACAGCCACAACCTCGTGAGTCAGCCTGGCTTGTCAACAACAGGGGAGTAGGCTGCTGTGGTGGGCGGGGGGCTGGGTGCAGACCCCTATAGACCAAACCAAACTAATCCACCTGACACACTGAGGCCTTTTTCCAGAGAAAGCTAGGTCCAATGCTAAATTCATCCGAAAGTATATCTCTAAAATCTTAGTGGAAACATTTCCACCTCACTTTGCTAGATCTGCATTTCCACCTCCCACTGTTGGTGGTTTATGTGTTATTTCTGAAAGATGCTATCTTGTGACTGAGATCGAACTGATTTGTCGAGTCAGCGATATGGTAACTTACCGAGCTGTATGGATGATGCCATCTATAACACACAATAGTCACACAAGGATGGGAAGACACACTGCATCCACGCTCTAACTTGCCAAGCAATATGAAAACAGCTCATTTAATTTTTTTTTTTATTTCCAAATTCAACATATGAAGTCAATTCAAGTTTTATACCATTACTTCACAGTGAAGTAAAAGAAAATATAATTTGGGCCGATGCTCAATAGCCTGCACAAAATGTAACATCTAAATGTAAATATGAACCTTTAATAACTTTTAACTTTTATATGGTATGGACATTTGTTCCACACGTGATGAGCAAATTAAACTGTCATCAAATGTGACAAACAAATCGGACAGAGCTAGGAGCTTCTGACTCACTACTACTGTGTTTTTAAAGAACAAAGACGGAAAAAAAGTTCCTTTCTAGTGTCACTCACACTTGACTTTACAATCTGCAGAGGAAAGAGAGGGACATGCTGAGGGAGTGGGGGTTGTGAGGGGACAAACTGACTGTGCCACTGCCTCAACTACGATGACACATTTAGTGCCATGTGAAACCGAGGCGTGCGAGACCTTTAACTGGCACTGTTTGCACGAGGAGAGAACCAACTTCCCGTCGGCGGTTTCAGAGAGGGTTGACGGTATTACAAAAAACTCTTGCCTTGTGTTACATAACACAAAAAAAACTCCAATACTTATAATACACACATTTACATTTCTGCATCCTTCAGTTCTTAATATATACTGTAGCGAGAAACAACAATACATTTTCCTTTCTGGCTGCATCAGAAAAGACATGTATGTGTAATACTGATTTCAGGACACAATTTTAACCAAAACGTTCAAACTAGATCTCAAGAGTTAATATATGAGATTTACCTATGAACAGCAACATCACACCTCGTTCCTACCGTTGAGACAGGAACTATATTTTTAGAATTCAATGATAAGCATGGCATGGGATCAGGTATCACAAAACGGCTAGATGGCAGATTAAAAAGGTTACAACAACCGTCTAAAGGTTATTATCAAAATTATTATCATACGTGACAGTTTAGTGGGCAGGTAAACAATCTTGTGTTTAGCCTAAGCCTGTCCAATTACGGTGAAGACAACATTTAACAGTGAATCACACCAAGAGAGGAGGTGACAGAGAGGGAAAACCCTCAGACGCACCAAATTTCCCACTGAGTGACTCGACCTCTAATGCAACTTTTTCTGAATGTCACAGGTTGTCACAGGTTGTCACAGGAAAAGGGCATCTTCCTCACCAGCCAGCCACACCCCACAAAAAAGAAAAATCCGTCTGCACGTCGGACGAGGCCTCATAAAGCTGTAGAATCATAAAATGTCATTCAACAAATCATGCATAAAGTGCACAGACCACTGGATTAAAAAGAAGCACCTAGAAAGTGCTTATTACCGCCTTAAATGGAGAGTAATACGCACTGTAATCTGGGGCTTTACATGACAACACTTTACAAGATAACACTGCAGCTTTCCCATGCTGCAGGGTATGTAACCCAAATGTTATAACACAATCCTGACATTTAATTTGCTGGGATCCAGACACCTCAAATTGCCACATTATCTTGACAGGGGGTTAATCAGGGGTGTTAACAAATTAGGGGCGATATCTGTCAGTTTGCAGTGGTACTTTAACGCTTCATTCTTTTATTTTATTTTGGTTGTTGCGACAGAGGCATGCATGTGTGTTTTGGGTCATCAAGTCCCCGCTAGCTCAGTATTAGAGCACATCAAAAGAATGCAGGCTGTGGTTGCCCCCTCTGTGAGCTATGCCTGCCCGTTCATCCATTTACAGCACACGGAGGAGAGGAAGTGGGCTCCTGATACGATCGGTGTACTATGCACTCGAGCAAAGTTCACCTCAAGCCTAAAGTAGCCCACAATGTAGCGACATCGACCAACAATTGCAAATGCAATGTCCACATTTATATACACATGTATTTCCACATTCCGTTGCCCCGACGGTGCAGAAAACACACACACACACACACAACTCGGAGTGGGTGCAGGCGCCCAGACACACACTGTATGTTTTTAACTCCACATATCGCCACTTTTCTCAAGGTGCCAAGCTAAAGGGTTAGCAGGTTGGCTCGCCTGTCTGTCTGTCTGTCTGTCCTCCTTCCACCACCAATGTCTTTACAAGCTACACAGAGGAGCGTTAGCTTTGTATGCTAGCTGCTGTAACAGACTGAATATAATGTCTCTCCGACGAACACAATTATAGTTTCTCTTCGACAACGCGGGTGCTTTGGTAGCCATTAATGACCAACTTGACAGGACTTTCGGACTCCGGTTATTTCTGACAATAAACAGCGGGTTTTTTTTTTTATAATAATAATAAAAATTAAAAATAAACCTGTCACACTCGCACATTTAACCGTAGCCACGCATGACGCATTCAGACTCCTCCAGGTGAAGCAGGTTAACACAGCACCCGGTTAACTGAGACCTGGACGCATGCTGTCAAATGTTGTCAAGCTGTCAATGACAAGTGGATGTTAATACCTGGGACCTGTTGACTCCTCCTCCCGGTCCCCTCGGGCTGCTGGTGGAAGTTCAGCCGCGCAGATGTATTTCTCCGCGGTGGTTACTCTTTGTCAAAGTTTGTCTTTTTTTTTCCTTTTTTTTTTACTTTCAAAATCTGCAAAACGTGACCCTCGCGAGCGCCAAGTGGCATTAGCAGCCCCCCCCTCCACACCCTACCTGCCCTGCAAAAAAAAAAAAAAACCGTGGGTAAGAGACGGCGAGCCGCTTTTTCAGAGAGCAGGCAAGTTTGGCACGGCTCTCGCGAAGGCAACCATTGCAGTCACGTTCTCTGGCTGTGAAATCCAACACCAGCGCTGACCCCGCCCCTTTCCTTTCTAGGGGGCCAGTCCTCAAAAGTGGATGCCCTGCTCTCTCCAGATGTGCTCAGTGCTCTGCTCAAATGAGGAGAGGGAACAAGAAAAACCACTGCATTCGGGTTTTTTTTTTTTTTTTTTAAAGCATTTTCTCCTTTCTTCCTTTATGCTGCACTAAAATCACAGGTGGAGGATGTGTTTATTTTTACTTACATAAAGGTAGCATGCACTGTGTGGAAGTCTTGCATTCAAGGTTCATCTTAAGGAAGAGTATAAATGTATTATCAGCAAAAAGTGAAAGTACTTGCTCAGTGTTATAATGTTATATTATTGGGTATTATTACCTAAAGCATTAACATACAAGCAGCATTTTCATGCTCTGGCAGGAAGGGTGGGGCTTATATTATATACTGTTATAGGCCTATTATATACATTGATCACATATGTTCATAAAATCAGATCAGTCAGATAAATGTAGTGGAGTAAAAAGTAGGGTAAAATATTTCCTATATATTTAATATAGTGGAGTAGAAGTAGTATAAAGTCTCATAAAATGGAAGTACTCAAGGAAAATGCAATTACCTCACAATCTTACTTAATTGCAGTATTTGTGTAAATGTACTTACTTATTTCCCATCTGTTCTCAGTCTGGCAGCCAAAGCCCGAGTTTCTTGAGTTGCAAATGAACTAACTTTATACTTAAGCTTTAATGTGAAGTGGCGTCTCCAGTGAATGTGTGATTGCGTAACCTGTGATATCTTAAAACGAATGCAACCAAATACAGGTTTGAAACTGAAAGTGTAGCAAGTCGAAGGAAAACACAGCAAAATGTGTTACATTTTTGGCAAAATATGGATGAAATGTATTCAACATTTGCAGAAAGAATACTACATTTTGAATGTAAGAACACCAACACAACAATTATGCATTTGTTATACAACCAACAACAAATCAGAACTTCCGTGCTACATATTTCATACTGTTGTAATAATAATGGCTTCATTCCCAAACTACATCTTTCATAAGTGATGTATGATAGAGGCTTTACAGGAACTTCCCATAGAAAATCTAGTTTTCCTTTCCCCTTTTTTTCAAGCCTGAAAAGCCCTGGATAAAAATGTCAACTCCATATCATCTCTATGGGACTCCAGAGAAACTGGAGAATTTTCAGATTTTATTCAAATATGTATCATTTGTATAAAATTTTAAACAATCTGGCCCGTCCTCTGTTGCGTGACTCTGCCTCCGCGTCCTGCTGAGAACACCATTAAAGGCTCTAAAATATCTTCCATCACAGATTGTGCTGTACCCTTTTGTCACACTGCATTTGAGCAGCGAGCTTCTTCTGTTAAATCTACCACTCAGACAGATTCTCTATCAGATCACATAAGAGCTGCAGCTCTTTTTATATTTTAAACCAAATTATACATTTGTCTTAAAGCAATCAAACTGTGTGCTCACTAATTCTGCATTTTATTATTATCTTACATGCTTTAGCTGGTTTTTACATGTTTCTATCATCTAACTAGTGGTGTGATTTCTTATATATGATCTACTGTGTTATTCCTCTTTTTTGTGATGGATGTCTGGATGGATGCTTTTTAATTATTAGCTGTCATCTTGTCTGTTTTAACAGCTGATAATTTATATGATACTGTACATGGTTCATTAAAAAACAAGGAAAGTTCACAAACCAAATTGTTTGTGTAGTATTATTTTATATTATTATAATTATTCTTCACCACAGACATCAAATGATGCTGCGGTACCTTGTTCACAGTTTATCGACTATGCAAATAATTGTTTAATTAAAAGTATAAATAGCAGATTGATCAGTAATTCAATTAACTGTTTGGCATTAATGTTCCCATGTATACTCCCGTGTGGGTGTGACTGTGCACACAGGTGTGCATACAAGGTGTTAAGGAGTGCGTGCATCTGTGAGCATGTTTGCGTGCGAAGGAGCTGGCTGCCAGGGGAAAGCACAGGTGCTCTTCTGTCTCTCAGATATGACTGCTACACTCAATAGCTTTCCGCCCCAGAAAGCAAAGTTTTGTGACAGGTGCTAGATGTGAAACCCCTTGTCCCATATGATTGGACAAAAGGCCATAAGACAGCTAGTGACATACTTTGCCTCTACGTTACCTTCTCAGTTGCTTTTCATCTTTTTTTTCCTCGGAGCATTGACACTGCTACAGAGAGGGTGCGAGCGACAGTATCCTCCTTGTTTCCCCTGCTGCCTTTAAGGCTTTCTTATACAAAAGCTGTGAGTGGCACTAAGCTGTGTCAGTTGTCACACATCACCACACAAGTGAGGAATGCAGTGCTGGGGGGCTTGGTGGGTTGTGACATGGGACATACAGGCATGTGAGTAACCGTGGACAGAGGGAGTTGTGAAATGCTAAAAGTATGTACTGGTGGAAGTAGCTGCTGTCATAGCAGCATGGTTGAAGAGATGAAACTGTCTTATTTCACAGCCTTCTGACAGCTGGAGCTGGGGCCCAGCATGCATGTGTATAGAATGTGTTCATGCAAACTGGATGGGTTCGCCCTCGTTCACTCAACTGCAGTGTGGGGATTTGTATTGTGTTGTGTTGTGTTTCCTCTACATATCTCTAGGTTGGATAGTAAGGCCTCTGGGGTCTCCTTAGCCCAGCTGCATCCTCCACTTGTAGCCAGGTTTACACTGGAAGTTACTGGAGTTGAATCTTAATGGCTTTCCAGTCTAGTCCCCTCTACTCTGAGATGTAGATATAGACTGAATTGCAGCATGCTCTGCACAGCTTATGTACTGACATGTCAAACATAGTGAAAAGCCATGTGATGCATGTTCCATTTAAAGCTTTACATAGCCTCACTGCATGCAAGCAAACCTTCACAATGTCAGGCTTGACACAGTGGCTTGTAAAGCACATGCATTAGCTTGGTGTCTAGCTACTGTACAGAGATAGAAAATCAGAGTTTGGACATGCTTCGAAGAGTTGCCTTCTCCATTTTCAAGACTTTCAAGGAGAGACTGGAAGTGACAGACAAGCCTGACATTGATATGAAGGATTAAGTAGAGTATGCATACAGAATGTCTGTCTGTGCTTTTGGCCACTAGAACATTTACCACTGACTAAATTATTTTTAAATTGGGAGAGCTATATCCATTACGTCAGTGGTTCCCAACCTGAGGGTCTGAATCCCTGAATGAGTCAGACAATGTAAATATAAACAAACAAAACTAATGTCCTCTAATGTTAGTTTTTTGTTTGGATAGTTGGGTCGTTTTACCAATTTAGTCCTCTGCAAGTAATTTATCAAATAAAGTAAGGGGGGAAAAAATGTCTGGTTGAACTGGTCACAGTCCGCAACCATAAGCAAACCAGTAATGATGGGTCATCAGTAGACATTGCTTTATTTTAAAGGAATAGGTTGACATTTTGGATGAATAGCTTATACACTGTCTTGCATAGAACTAGATGAATAGACTACTAAATATGAAGCTAGAGCTAGTTATTTTCTTTGCTAGTCTGGTTTTATCCAACAACAGCGAAATCCACCTGCTAGAAACCGCTAAAGCTAACAATCTGAATAATAAATTAGCATGTTACATTTTGTTTGTCACCAGAACAAAAAAGATTTGTAACGACTGCTTTACTTAATACAGACAAAATCTGAGATGCTTTAAGATCCAGTGTTCTCAGTGGTCTCACAGAGCTGCCTTAATCCTGTGATCCCCTCCTATCAAAACCATAACATGAAATAGTCCCTGTAGATGGTCATTGTTACAGGACTGTAGAGTGAGTGTCTCTCTCATGTTTCATTTTACAAGGCACCTGGTGGGCCCCATGGCAGGTGCTCAGTTTCCGCCTCTAAACGTCGGGTGCCTATTTACTGTCTAGTGTGAAAGTCCAGTGCTATTTCCAAAGTGTGGTAACATTAGCCAGCCTGATCAATGCTTTCACCCCCAGCATGGGTCCACATACCACATGTCACGGTCTGGTTCACAGAAAAAAAGAGTGGGTGACAGAGAGGCAGGGGGCCCCTCCTCTGCATACAGTGTCACCCACACCCAAGAGAAACATTTCCAGTTCCCCAAATGTCAGTTGACAATTACAGAGGCGGCGTCTAACACACCAGGGCAACATGAGAGCCCATTCACCTGACGTCAGAAAGGCCAGCAGTCTACCAGCCTTTCTTGGGTATGCATTTGGAGAGGATCTGAGGACTGGTGTAAGAGAGAGAACCGTGAAGGTGCCAAGGCTTGGTGGTCAATCCCCATCCACAGAGTCCCTTGACTTTTAATTCATCAAGTCTGCTGCTGCCTTCTTAAAACCGCATATTTATTTGGAACTCCCAGCAGCCAACCATTCATCACTCTGCGACTCCCCTTTATTAGCTTGTCATCTGTAGTGGAGTGTAATCGTGAAACCGTCAAGCAGCCTCCATGGAGAGGTCTTCATGGCAAGACTGAAGGCTACATGATCTTGCTTAATAAAATAGCTTTTCTGGATACATCACAATAAGATGTCACACCATTTGAATGCTGAAAAGTAGCTACCCGAGTCTGTAAGTGTGTCCGGATAGGAGTGCTGAAAAGCTACATAGCTTTCACACTGATTCACTTTATGGTGCTAGGTTGTGAAGTATAAAGAAGAAATGAGCAAGGGGAAGAAAGAGGGGGCAGATGAGATTGTATCAGCCGCATGGAAACAGTTAGCCAAGTCCCAAAGCCTCCTTTGAACTGCAAACAGCATTCACTCAGAACACATTCGAATAACATGCCACCAACATGCAAGAGGACATAGAAACACACATTTCCACGCACATTACCACCACCATCGCCGCTGCCACACACAGGGACCGCCCTGCAAACCCACCAACATCCTTACCTAATCTCACCTGCAAGAGAGAAAAGCCATTATACAGTTTAGTTTTCTCTTTCTCATTTTTTCCCCTCCTGGCAAAAAAAAAAAAGATGATTTTTCAAACCTCTGACAGCCGAGCCTTTCGCAGGATTTAGTCCATCTGAAAACATGTGGTAAGCCTTGTGGAATGTTTCAAATGATTCCCAGATGTGGGCCGCAGACAGGTTTAACCCATTCTTTTCCCGCTCAGCGGCAGGGAGGAGGTATAAAGGAGGCCTTTCCGGGAGAAAGTCTGAGCAATATCAAAAAACTTTTATCCCTCTCCGTCGATTTTTGTTACTTTCAAAGCATTAGGGCTCACTGAACTGAGGCTTAATGTAATTTGCCGTAAAGCTAAAAATGGAAGTCCTCTTATGCTGCATTACCCAAGAATAAAGAATGCGAGAGCGCTGCTTTTTCCAGATGACTCAGCAATCGCAGGGACCTGGCAAAGTTAAGGAAAACACCTTTATTAGGGACAATTCATACTCTCGACATGGTTAACTTCTCTCCGCGTTGCTCAACACACTGTTTTCTTGGCTTTTGTCCCCTAAGCAAAGCAACCTGTAACAAAGCAGAACATTTCTCGTCTATTGGCTCTAAAGCACCGTCTCTCATGGCATTTCATATAGTCTGCTGAGCTTTGCCAGTGCCATATAAAAGAAATGCAAGACTTAAGCTTACCTAATGCTTCACTTGAACTTCATCATCATTGTTTACATGGTATGATTAAACCAGGGCTCAAACTGGAGTTGCTGGATCGTTTTATGAGGGACATTGTTGTTGTAGTAACACTCCCAAAGATGGCGGTTTTGATGAGATAGGGAGGGAGGTAACAGAAGAGCCAAACTGCTAAACGGGGTGGAGAGAGTGAGCCGCTTGATATCCTATGAGCAACAAACTCAAGTGACCCCATTCCCTGTTCTCCCTCTCTATCTTCAGCCCTGCTGTTCCCTCCCCTCTGCCTTTTTCTCTCTTTCTTTCTCTCTTACTCCTTCCCTCTATACTTCCCCCTCTCTCACTAGCCTAGCCAACTGTGAAGCAGTTGTCCAACACGCCCGTCAGACTTCCAGCCAGCATGTTGGAGTGAGTCCCATTATACACAATCATAACAGACAGAAAGGGTACATGCAGACAACTGATAGAATTGCACTAAAATTGAGGGCAGAGGAGAGTGGCAGGCAGTCACTCTGGCAGCGAGTTGGTGAGCAAGCAAAGAAAGATAGGGGAACAGTCAGAGAAAGAGACACAGAGGGAATAGGCTTGTGCTATGAGGCTCTTAGCAGGATACCATAGGCCATATGAGGCCAGAGCAGGCTGGGAAAGATTGTTACTGCTTTGAGCTTCCACATGTGAATGCACCGCAAAACCCCCTCTCCCTTTTTTGCCTCCCTCCCACAAGCCTCCCTAAGGAAAGACCAGTGTTTTAAAAGAAGCACAAACAACTGCCAACTCCAAATTCTGCTTTTTATTTCTGAAGGGGAATCAAGCGTGCTTTTACTTCCTTAGCTGTGCTGTGTTGCAAGCAGCATCATTGCTCCGTTACTGAGGTCACCTATTAAGACAGAACGCGTTTTTAGGCCGGCCTGGGATTGTATTCAGAGGGGATTAGGCTAAATGTGCAAAAGGGTCATATTTGTGTACCTTTCATTTCCACCTCCTCCCATCAAATATCCGCTTTATTTCTTATCATGTACAGTAGAGGAGGTGGAATATACGTAGGAAAGCATTCAACACCAAGTGCTGGATATCAAAAACTAAAGATCATTGTGAGTGATTCAAGGTTTTCAAGAAATAGTTTGACTTTTTGGCAGATACAGTTATTCCCTTTCTTGCCTAGAGTTACCAGGCAAGCAGCGCAGACACCAGGAAGTTATTGCGCCCAGAGCTGGTCACCAAGAAGAAGTAGTTTCAGCGCATAACTTCCCATTAAACAACGAATAGCTGTTTTTACATTTCTGTTTGAGTACGGTTTAAACAAATGAGATATAACATGCGAGTGAGCCAGGGTAACTGTTTTCTCCTGCTTCCAGCCTGTATGCTAAGCTAAATTAGCCGTCATCTGCATGTAGTTTCATATTCATCATATGGACATGAGGGTGGTATTGTTCTTCTCATCTAACTCTCGGCAACAAAGAAAATCAGCATATTTCCCAAAATATTGAACTATTCATTTAAAATCTGGCAGCGCTGTAATGAAAACAAAGTCTTCCAAGTCCACCTCTTATGCCTCTAAGCCAGCAAACATGACTTGTGGTAATGTCCTGTCACGCAACATGAATGAAACATCCTTTCCAAACTAACCACCTGGCAGCCTCCATCTGCACAGCGCCTTTATACCCGCACATAAGGTTATGTTACACCCCCTCCTTTTCACCGCATCTTCCATTTTAGATCATCGGGGTGCCAGTCGCCAACATGTTCCCCTTCCCAGCATCTCATCAGAGGAAACCCAGAGAGTATGTCCCTTTAATTAGACCGCCCGTGAAAATAATGGTGCATTAATGACATTTCTATGGGGGCCAATGAGCTGGAACAACAGAGGAAAGACTAAATCACAAATCAATTCCAACAAATGTAATTAAGGCTTAATTAGCCTCCAGGGTGTCACTGGAATGCCATGGAGGGGATGATGTGGAGGAAGAGAGAAAGAGAGAGGGGAAGTGAAAGAGAAATTTAGAGAAAGTGAGTCGCCATGGGTCATGAAAACAATGTCCGCTCTTTAACCCATCTCATGTATAACAAATATACTTAGACATACTTAATTTATTATGTATCATGCGTTCATATCATAACATTTCTTAATGATCGCAGTGCTTTGATTAAAGTCATAAGAAATGCTTACAGCTTCTGTATGCTAAATGTGTGGGTCTTGGCACGTGCCTCCGTGGTTTTAAAGGGGAGGGCTGATTTAAAGGCAACACTTCCAGTGTGGAGCCACACATCCAGCACTGGGTAGAGAAGTGCTAATTCTCTATAAAAACAGCAGCATGTACGGTTAAGCCCAGCAAAATTCTGGTGTTAAAAAGAAAGGAAGGGGGGGAGAAAAAAAACAACAGAGAGGGAAAAAAAGAAATGCAAAACCGCAGGGAGGCTTGGAGAGGACTTGCCTGCTCGCTGGATGCCAGATCACACAAACACAGACTCTCGCGCCAATAAATGAGCTTCATAAACTGCAATTAAAACCCTGGGCACTAATTTAGTGGAAATGGCAGCCTGTAAAAAGCGAAGAGTGTTAGAGAAAGGAGGAGAGGAGAAAGAGAGGCAAAAAAGCGGAAAGTGGAAGTTTCTGGGCTTCAACTGATTTTTTTTTTCTCTTTTTACATCCCTTGCATTAATGCAAAACATACCATGCTTATGCTTTCCTGGCTTACCACACACATGCAAAAACATGGACACAGTGAGTTACTCACTTCAATGCATGGAACACACATAGGCTGTTTTTCATGTATAATAACTCTTATAGCATAAAATATTACCAAACAAGAAAACACAAAATGTCAAAAAAAAGATGTTTTTTCTTTCTCTTTCTCTTTCTTTTCTCTTTCTTCTTTGCCTTCGTACACTAACACGTTCACTTCATACACACCTACACCCTCTGAAGCCTGTCCCAACAGCCTTCCAGGATGGCAGGCAGGCAGGTCTGTCATATCAGAGGTGTTGGGGGTGGACTGGACACGGCTGATGGGAGACATCTGCCCTGGCTGCCTGTCTGTCAGGGTCAAAGACTATAGAATGAGGTGTCAGCATTGTGATAAAACAGCCCACACACTCACACACATGCACACAAAGACATACAAGGAGCAGAAGGAGAAAGAGCCATTCCATAAACACATCATACTCCCACCACCCAGCAGACAGCACGGTCTAAACTGTCAAGTGACACACTTGATATGCTTGTCAGGCCCATGTATACATTACAGCTAGCCATGCTGTAATTGGGGATGAGTGGTCATGTCATGTGACGCAGAGCAACTCTGTTAGATAATGTTGAAAAGGCCTTCTCTTTCGCAGCAGTGCAGAGTGACAGCGGAATATCAGGAGCTAGAAACCTGTGCAGCCGCTGCATGTGAATTCCTTGTAAACCAGCAGGCAGCTATTCCTCCACACAGGATGGGTGGTTTCAACATCTCTTCCTGGTAAAGATTACTGCTGAGTATCATCTGACCTTGTGCTGGCTCGTCTTCCCCTCCTTTAAGACTGATCATAAGTTGGAGCTTTAAATGTTATTCATGGAACTTGCATAGTCAAAAAATTTTCAAATGTCAGGAAAATGCCAAATACCACGGTTTTTGTCAATAAAGAACGCTCCCATATCATACCTGTAACCGCAGATACAATAGCTAAAAGCAGTGCTGTGAGCTTTTATAAATGTCATACACTTATGTGTAAAGGGGTCTTGGAGCTTTATTTATATTTGTCCAGGTTGCTGTGTGTCAAACAATGTGACTGAAAAGCCCTGAACACACACCAGTGCACCATATCCCTGTGAAGGCTAAGCATGCACTGAAACTAAGTAAGCAATGCCCTGTGCTATGTTGCCTTTTTTAATTGCTTATTGATTGTTGTGTCATGCTGTGACAAAAACAGGGGAAACAATGGAGGAAAACCTGGAAGTGATGAGAATTGAGGGGTGTAATGCATGACTGGGCGGGAGACTGTCTCAGAGGGGGGCGAGCATAAAGTAAACTCTGCTGGAGAGTAAATAAAGGAGATTTTCTTAAACACGCCCTGCACTGCCTCCAGTTTTAAAAACAATAGCCACCATTTTTTTGTAGTAGACTTTATTATAAAATCTATAATAAAGAAATAGAAGAGAGCTACACAGATAAGTAGACGTATCCTCAGTTGCCAATGTGGGCATCAAGCAACTCTGTCTTTGTGAAAGAGAAAAACAACATGAGCTTGGCGACGGAAGTTTGAGGTTTAGGCTTTTATCACCACCCGAATCCTCTGCTGTATCTCTTTTTGGGTTTCCTGTGTAAGTCACCATTACACTAATGTGCCCTTGATGACTCTCTGCATGAACAGTCACACACAGTTTAAGTTTGGGTTACTTTCATCAGAAAGTCAAGAAAGTAAACAGAGAAATTTACTGAATAAGTACAATTTATCAAATGAGCAGGACTCTCATTGTGATGAGCAAAATCTAATAACTCTGTTACTATTATGAGAGCTTTGTAGGATTAGTGTTTTCGAGATCAAAGGTTTGGAGTAGATTTTATCAGATCACGTACTTTCAACGCCCTCAATGGAGAAATAGCTTCCTCTACATGAAAAACAGCAGCCAGTTCAACAGTGCTATATTACTCATTATTAACAAAGAAAATCAACTTATTAAGTGACTTTTACATATTTTGACAATTATTATACTATGACACACAAACCATAGCCAGCCAGAGTGTAGACTTTTCAGTCACCAGTTTCTGTATCTATATTGGCAGTCTGGCTCACTGTCACTATGACTCATCGCATGCAGGCACGCAAATGGGAAATGATACCTGCATATAATGATCAGTCGGGATCAGATGTTGCTCATCTGTGACTCCTGCCGCTTTTCTCAGGGTTACAAATGGCCACACAGAGACTGGCAGAAACAGGCAGCAAGGAGTCACCATAATCCTCAAATGTCTCCTTGTGATCCACGAGGAACCTGCTGCTGATCTGATCCAAATGAGGCGGAGAAGGAAAACTCCTTCCCTTGATCTCTCTGCAAGAAAAAAACAAATAACAGAAGGCAAGCAAGAGAACCGCAGCAGTGTGAGGGTAATCTTGCACAGCCATGCCTCTGGGTCAAATGA